TTTTAAAGGAAGTACCTGGGATGCTTTCTACCCCAGAAATCTTCCTCCACTGCAACAGAGAGGTGTAAGGAAGATACTTGCATCTCCCTGTTATACGCCCCCTTGGTGAATTGCTGTTCGGGCTTTAAAGCCTACTGGAGGCTCATAAGCAAAGCATCTGGCTCTGTATCAACCATTTTCCTAGGAAGTCTGGCTCACCACAGATCTTTCCACATTTACTTTTAAGTGACTGGAACAGGTCCCTTTATCTGCCTTTCTTTTATCTTGATTGCTTTAGCACCTTTAAGACCTGGTTTACATGACAGGGCCAGTGTCTTCTGCTGCAGAGAGGCCCCCTGTCCCACCAGGGGTACAGCAAAACCGCTGCAGTACTGTGCCAGGTCTGAGGCCCTGCTGAATTAATGTCTTCCTTAACTCTCTGGTAAGCACAGGCCTCACCGGCCTGGTGAGCTGGGCATTAAATACCGCCCCTCTGCTACCCAGTTCTCTCATTGTCGTTTATCTACCTGATTCTTCTTCCCCCGGCTGATTCCTCCCATGGGTTCCTAGCTTTTGGATCCATGGAAAGGCTCCCTAGCAGAGATCTAATTTGTATTCTTCCTTTGTTTCCCCACTTCCCTCCAGCCACAGGAAATGGCAGTCAGCATGTCCCTCTGGGTCACCCTCCCGCTTACATGCTTCTGCCATATCAGAGATCCGTGTGTCCTGTGTGTCTGCTTCCCTCCTGTAATTTCTCTCTTACACAGGCAAGTCCCTCTGGGCAGACAGCTCAGCCTCAGTTGCACATCTCATCTGTAGCAGGGGCTTCTTATATTTCTTCCCATATGTGCTGCCTTTCATGTATTTGGATATACTCTAGTCTCTTAGCCTTCATGTGGGAGGCATTACTGAACTCAATGGCAGATGCTCTTCACAAGGTGTGTGATACCTCTCTTACTATACAGAGGAAGGCAGGTGGCCATACTAGGATTTCTCCCCCAGATTGTCTAGCCTCTCCTGACAGCTCAGCCTCTGTTCGTGTCTTATTGCTCATAGCAGGGGGAGGTGCTTCTGTTCCAGATTCATTTTTGGTACTGTTCAGGCCTCTGTTAGGTTGCCAATTTGTTGTGTGACTTTCTTTGGTAGTTTTAAAGAAACATCTGTTTATCCCAGATGGAGCATCAGTGACAGATCAAAGAAATGATCCCATCCAAATCCAGCTTGGTGAACTAGTGATGTTTTTGGTGTTACTTAGCAGAGCACGAGTGAGTCAAAAACATCTGTGTTACTGAAAGTTTCGTGATAAGTCATGAAAGCTGCATCAGTGGAACCCTAACCTTAGATCAGCCTTGTCACAGCGTGAACAGAAATATTTGTGGAAATATAAATCACTGTTCACATACCAGCATTTATAAGACTTCCTGCTGTAAAGCCAAATGATGTACCATACACTGAAGTCAGAAGACTGACAGAGAAGGGCAGGAAAGAAAATGTTAAAACCTGACATTTGTACACATTGGCCTTGAAACTCTGTGCTAGGTGACGCATTCATGTTCTCATCTGATGCTCACAAAATCCAAAGCACTAGAGGAGGGAAACAGTTTCAGAAAGCAGTAAGTTGTCCCAAGTCAGCCTTGCTATCAGACTCCAAAGCCAGGGTTCTTTTAGACTGTTCTTTAGTAAAGATGTTCTTGTGTCTGAGCTCTAACTGGAAAGCCTAGTGAGAACTGTCCATGAAGTCTGTATCAGGCAAAGCTGGCATTTGCTCCTTCCCCAGCACACTTCTAGCTAAGGTAGCAAACCAAAGCACAGGCATGGATTTCCTGTTTTCTCACCTGAAAGGACACAGTGTGGTCACATGCTCTTCTCTTGAAATGTCTTGCAGTTTAGTTTGCATTTCATTGGTTGGTTGTGCTTTTTAATGGCAGTCTTTTAGAGAGCTTTAAAAAGGATAAATTAAATCGTGATACATCTCTGTAGATGTATGTTTCAGATTTTGTCGAATAGGAAAGACAAGATGGTAACCTTTTTTAGTCTTCAAAAAGTCTTAAACCATACCAGGAAAAACTACTTTTGCTTCCTGTGACCATCCATCCCCAAGCCACATTTGGGAAATGGTCAAAAAAAGAAAATGGGTTCCATTTAGTATAAGCATTTTACATAATGTGACCAGTTCTTAGAAGCCATAGGTCATAATGGTGCTTTGAGGTTTGGGGCGGTGGGCATTATTTTACAATTTTTTCATTACATTTATTATATGTGGAAGTTGGTTCTCCATTTCTACTCTGTGGGTCCCAGGGATCAAATGCAAGTCATCAAGCTTGGTGGCAAGTACCTTTACCTTCTGAGCCATCTCTCTGGCCCTGAAGTTTCTGTGATTCAAGCATCTGTCCAGCACTGAGAGCGTAGCATGTGCTTGGCATCTACAAGGTCCTAGGTTTAATCTTCAGCAACAACATCTTGATAGGCAAAATTTGGAGTTATCAGACATTTTTATCAATTATTTCTCAGCCAAAAGGAAAATCAACACAAATTAACTGATCAGTATTTCAATAAAGAATTGTCTAGTACAAAATAATTGGTTTGAATAGTTGAAAGCAAACAAAAAATATGAAAAAGAGACTAAAATAGAATCTGCAGGTATTGCTGAGGTGTGAGAGGGTTGTATAACTGTAACCCCTGTGTGTCTGAGTGGCCTTCTAAGTGTGCATGTGCTGCAGGTGACAGGTGGGAACAGAGCCGTGCACTGTGACCCCTGTGTGTCTGAGTGCCCCTGTAAGTGTGCATGTGCTGCAGGTGACAGGTGGGAACAGAGCCGTGCACTGTGACCCCTGTGTGTCTGAGTGCCCCGTAAGTGTGCATGTGCTGCAGGTGACAGGTGGGAACAGAGCCGTGCACTGTGACCCCTGTGTGTCTGAGTGCCCCTGTAAGTGTGCATGTGCTGCAGGTGACAGGTGGGAACAGAGCCGTGCTTTGTTGGCAGTTGCCCAGCAGTAATGACACATTTGCACTCTGCAGCATGTGAAACGACGGTGGAGCTCCTGTTTGACAGTGTTATACATTTAGGCTGTAAGCCGTACCTGGACAGCCAGCGAGCTGCATGTAGGTGTCGTTATGAAGAAAAAACAGATCTTTAAGAAGATCCTGGCTGCTGGTAAGCACACAAAAACAGAGGAAAATAATCTTCGCCAAAGAACTGGTGTTTTCACAGCCTAAAGCTGCCTTAGTTTTGTGAAGTCATTTTAAGACTGTATTTTGACTTTAAAAGTAAGAAAGAACAGAGGGGAGGGAACAAACAGAGGGGAGGGCTCGCCTGCCTTCCTGGTATCTTGCTGGGTGTCTGGGTCTCAGTGGCTACTCAGTTTTTCATAACTATACTTACACAAAAAGAAAAAAATGAAATTGATTGTAAAATTCATTATAAATGCTGTCCAACCTTACCTTATTTTGAAACAAAAGAAAATCTTCCCTTAAAAATGTTGTTAACGATGAAATTTCAAATACACATTTGTGCCTGGAAGGAACTGGCTTTACTGTTTCTCTGTTGTAATTACATATAACACGTTTCTGTATAGCCCACAAAGATAGGAATGGGTCAGGTTAGCTACATGAGCGAGGCTTCCGTGTGCTTCTCTTGTACAGTCGGCACCGTTGTCTGTCACCCTTTACAGGCACAGCCTCAACGTCTACGTATTCTGATACAAATAAGATTCAGAAGCCCAGCATTCCCGTTTACAACCACCTGTGTCAAATGTCATCTTTTGCCATAAATTTGAGAAAAGTTGTTTAATAACACGTAAGGAGACTATACACTGTTGTGCTTGGATGTTTATTTTCTAGTACCCGTTCCTCATCATAGATCTGGAATATTTTTAAAAGACTGTAACCTTTTACTAGTTGTGGCCTTAATAAAAGTTATTCTTAATAATGTTTTCTTCTCGATTCTTTCCTTTTGTTTTGTTTTAGGCATATATTTTATTCTTTTAATTTCAGTTATTTTTATTTTATGTGTATGCATGTATGTAAGTGCCCCCATGCTGTGCAGTGCTCACAAAGATCAGAAGAGGGCTTCGGATTCCCCTGGAACTGGACTTATGGACTGTTCTTAGCCAACCGCCGTGTGGGAGCTGGAAGTCAAATCCAGGTCCTCTGCAAGAGCAGTCACTGTTCTTAAGTGCTGAGCCATCTCTCCAGCCCTCATCTTTTTTTTTTTTTTTTTTAATAAAAGGCAAGAATACATTGTTGAATTGAGGGCTAAAGGAGGAAAGGACTCCTTCTTAAAGTGGAGTCTCCCTGCCACTATCCCTAAGACTGTAACATCTCTATATATTTGTATTTAAAAAGAAAAGAAACAGCAAACATGAAACTTAGTGATCTGGATTTCAACCCCCTCCCTTCTTATAAGAGAACCATGTTACAGAATTCCTATTCAGTGATCTCATAGCTCCACATGGGAGCTGTGGCCCCCTAGGGCAGACACACACATACTCAGAAGCACACATACTCTGGATCTACCGCCACGTGGAGGTCCCGAGAAACACCATTACGCTTTCTTCACTCCCAGATGGATGTTATCACCTTTACTTCCCCCTGGCTCCCTTGAGCTGCTGGGATCCTTTTTGAAAACTTGGTAGCCCACCCTGAATGTCTGGGAAACCACACACATAAATACATACACACAAAACCACTGCATGTTCTCTTTCTTTGGGAAACAAAAGGATGTCTGGTTCTACTATCCCACCTCTTCTTAAGGGTGAGGGCCTAAAATCCTTTTGGACAGAATCTAGTGGAAATTCTGGCGAGGGCCATCCAGCAGAGTGGGGTTGACAGGGACCTTCTTGACCTTCAAAGAGGTCAAGGGAGTGGCCCGTACAGTCAGTGGATGCTCATGAGAACAAGCAGTGGGAGATGGTTGCTTCCCACTCAGATCATCTTCTTGTGTGTCATCGTGTGGGCCAGCTTTACATTCTCCATCTCAGTGGAGGGTGGGGGCTGCTCCAGGTGGCAGCTGATCATAAGCTGGTACATGAAGACACCAGCAGTGGAGTCCAAAACTGGAGAGGTGGGTACTCACCACCAGTGTCAGCTGGTGCTGAAGACATCTGAGCCCAGCCAACCTGGGTGGTGAAAAGACAAAGGTCAAAGTTGCGGGCAGGGTTGATGGCACAGCCAGAGTTAAAGCCCATGGAGGTGCCAATGACCAGAATCACAAGGCCCACAGTAAAGGCTTCCAGGTCACAGGGGACACATTGTTGTCGGGGTCAACAATGGCCAGTGCACACACAGTGAGGGAGGCTGTGCTATAAACTGATCAAAAAAGCAATTAACTATGTCCAGGTGTCCAGAGGGATTAGGTAGCAAAGATGCCCACTGTCCCACTGGGGCCAGAGACAATAAGTTCATTATTCCAAAGCCCCAGATTGAATCATAGTATAGCCACTAAATGATCTCAGCACCCCAAAAGGCTCCAAGTGTCTAAGCCTGCATGTAGATGGGGCAGCTTGCTCCAGGGCTCATATACCAGGAAGCACATGGCAAAGGTCACCTCGGTTCGGGTGGGCTCAAGACACCTGGCCAGCCACCAGGATGGCAAGGGCCACAGCAAAGCCAAAGGCCAAGTTGATAGGAAGGAAAGCACCATAGGTGCCCCTGCTGAGTACCACCTGGGCCACAAAGCCGCAGCCAAATATCACGAGGAGAGGGTCCCCAGAGGCAGCCAGTATTGAAAGTAGATCATCTCCCCACAGCGGTTAATCAGCTCCTTCAGCAGTGGGCATGACAAGCCTCTTTTTAATTATTTCTTGATAAGTGTTTTCAAGTCTTTAATTGTGATGTCAAGAGAAAGGAAAGGGAAGGTAGAAAGAGCTGTCTTTTATGAATCTCTTGTTTACACTGAAAATCATTAACAAGTTCAAGAGCAAGTCCCAGAAAACTTAGGCAGCGTCTAAAAACGTCTATAAATTTTGGAAATGTTTTAACAGACTCAGAATATTCAGCTGTTTTTTTTTTGTTTTTTTTTTTTTTTTTTTTTTTTTTTTTTGTCTTTTTGAGACAGGGTCTCTGCAGCCCCAGCTGTCCTGGAACTCACTATGTAGACCAGGCTGGCCTTGAACTCACAGAGATTCGCCTGCCTCTGCCTCCCGAGCCATGCTGTCTCAGCTGTATTCTTAGAATGGCCATTGAGTATTGACTTTCCCTACCCCCAAACCCCAAACTCCAAAACACGTGTAGCCTTTGGGTAAGCTGTGGCCAAAGTTACTAAAGTAAACTGCTTGGAATTTCAAAAAAGGATAGCACATCAGGCAGAACTGGGCAGGACAAACAGTGGGAAAAGGGCTGCATTCCTGGCTTTGACTATGTATCATTTCTGTGAATTTCATGTCTTTTCGGATGTGAGATGGTGGCAGCCACTCTGTTAAGAGATGCGGTCACTATTAGACAAAGCAAGTGTGTGCCCTTCATTGAGCAAACTAGGTCCCGGTATGCATGCATGGAATCCTTAATTATTACTTTAGGCAAACAACTTAACTCCAACATAGTCATTCAGATTTTATATGACTGAGGTGATAATTGAAGTCATCCCTGTCATTTGCTGGTTTTCTATACTGCTTAGCTCTACAAAACCAGCCATGTCCTTAAGCAGTTATTAATAAAAGAGCAAGAATGAATTAGTATAACCAGTCCATATAAAGTAATGAGACACATACTCAAGGTAAACTAGATTAGCAGTCATTTCTGTATGCTGGCTACATGATGTCATTCATTCTGCCTTCGGATTACTTATTTCATATCTATAGTACCCTTCCAAACCTTGTTGACAACTTTCCCTTTTTTTCATTGGCTCTCAGGTTGTACTAGTCAGCTTTCCCTCTCTGTGACAAAATATCTGAGAGGAAACAAAGGAGACAAGATTTCCATGGTCCCTGGCTCCATTGCTTCTGGGCTTATAGTGACAAAGCCAGGGAGCATGTGGTGGAACAATGCAGTTCACTTCATAGCTCATGGGAGGCACAGACAGGAAGGGCCTCAGGACAAGATACACCCTTCCAGGGTGAGTGAGCCTTCAGTGGCCTATTCCATCTGCAGCAGGAGGCTCTACCTTCTACAGTTTCCCATCAACTCCAAACAGTTCATTCAATTACTAGTGTACCAATATTTTAATTTATTGATAAGGTTAGCACCCTTATGATCCAACGGCACTGTTTAACGGCTCCAGCATCTGAGAGGGGGGGCAAGCTTTCTATGCATGAGCCTTTGGAGTACATTCTGGTTCCAAACTATAACACATTTTCTTAAGTGTCAGAATCATACAAGTTTCACAGGTTCATGTGTTTGAACACTTGGTCCCAGCAGGTGGCACTGTGTTAGGTTATGAACCTTTAGGAGGGTCCTAACTGGAGAAGTGGGTCCCTGGGGGATGAGGCTTGAGCGGTTTTTTTTTTTTTTTTAAGTTGGTTTATCTCAGGTATTTGTTATAATATAATACATTGCCAACTGACACAAAATTTTTTATACATTATGTTAGATGAAATCTTACTTTGTAACTTGCAGCTATGTGTGAAATGCATGCCTATACCACCAGCACTGGGAGGCTGAGGCAGTAGGATAATGAGTTTGTGGTCAGCCTGGGATACACAGTGAGACCTTGTCTCAAAACACAAAACAAAATCCCTTACTTACATAGACTATAAAAGTAATACAAGGGCTGGGGAGATGGCTCAGCAGTTAAGAGTGCTTCCTATTTTTTCAGAAAGGAGTTCATTTCCTAGCACCCACTTCCAGAGGCTCACGTCTGCCAGTAAGTCCAGCTCCAGGAGATCTGATGACCTCTTCTGCACCTGCACACATGTGCATATAAACACATAAATAAACATTTAAAAATCACAATATTTTGGCTGGGTATGGTAATGCACATTTGTAATCATAACTCTTGGAAAGCTGAGGCTGGAGAATCACAAGTTCAAGACCAGTCTGAGTTACACAGCAAGATCATATCTCTGAAAAAAAGTAATACAATATTCTGATATAAGACACTTAGCAAGAAAAAAATTTCTTTTATCTGCTCCTTTCAAGTAAGTGGAAGGTTAGCCAGTCAGGGTCCTGTATAGTGAGTGCTCTGTCAGGACTCAAACAGAAATTATGAAAGTCAGACTTGGAGCACAGGAAGTAAGTCAGACACTCATTCAAACACGTAAGGTCCAGAGTGCAAGTGTTGAAACCCTGAAGCATAATCGGTGGTTAAATATAGGCAACAGCTCTGGGTAATGAGGAAACCATAAATAAATGAATAAGACCATACCTGCTTTCACTGAACAAAAAATGATAGTGGTAATAACCATTATTTCTGAACTTTCTGCCCCCAAATCATTGTTAGAGCACTTTGCAATTATTTAAGCCACTGTCACAACTACCACTGGAGGTCTTGATATGCCATGTCTAATACAGAAGAAATTATTAGGACAGTGACCATTACCAAGCCCAAGTCTTTCCTGGCCACTCAAAAAGGACACAGTGAATTAAGGCCAAGTTGTTGAGGCAAGGAGAAAGGTTTATTCAGTAAATCAGCAAGACTGAAGAGTTGGTAGGCTATCATCCTGAATGGCCATCTTAAGGCAGGTGTGTAGATCCTAAGTGCTAAGGGAAATGGTGGAGGAAACCTAGTCAAAAGCTAATCTGTTCATTTGCATCACTCCTGAAAGGAGGGCAGATTAAAGGAAGTTTGGAGCAAACCAACCTTGTCCCAGTTTGATTAACTAAGGCAATATACTGGGGGGGGGCTTTTTCTAGCAAATAATAACGGCCTGGCTTCGTGAACTCTAAATTTTTTGCACAAATAATGAAATGAACAGTAAAACCTTTTGACTTCATACTCTTATTTGATATCCAAGACTTTTGAAATACACATGTAGACCAATTGTTACCAAGTTAGA